GGGCGGGCGCCGCGGGCCCCGGCGCGGCCTGTGGTGCCCGCACCGAGCGCGAGCCGCTGCTCTCCCGGCAGAGCCCGGCGCGCACGAGACTCCCAAGCGGTGCCTGAGCAGGAGGCCGCGCGGCGCCGCCTTCAGCTCGCCCGCCGCCGACGGCGACGCGCAGCAGGAGATCTTCTGGGACCCGCACTCGCCCGTCGCCCGCGGGGCAGGTAGCGGCGCCGCGCCTCGCCCGCGACACCCCCCTCTCCTCCTCCCGGCCTCGGGCCGCAGCTCTCGGGGCCTTGCCTTGCCGCTCTGCGCTTCCTCTTCGCCCTCGTCCCGCAGATCCGTCCCCTGGTGCCAAATCAGCTTCGCCGGGTGTGATCAGATGGCTTGAGACGCTGTCGCGCCCTGCAGTTTTAAAACAAGTGGTTTGTTTGTGTTTTACCTTTTTCAGGCAGTGGAAAAAAGCAGCAGGTTGCCAGTAGGCGCACAGTGGAGATTTCAGAGATTGTTAATCGGATTGCTCCTCAGGTAACTACTGCTTTCCCAAACGGTGCCCGCTGTGAGCAATGATCAAACTTGTGTTCCAATATTCAGGTGTAGTGAAGATGCAATTTCAGTTACAGTACACTGCTTGCCATGACAAGAAGTGAGTGTGCAGGGTGACTGGCTTCACCCGTTCCCCTTAACTGAAGCTGCTGCTTTAAGATGATATAATTAAACAGATAAGACTATCAGTACACGTGTTTGCAGTCGTCTCGCTTGGCTTGCATTGGTTTGGCTCTTGTCTGTGGCTTTCAGTGCACTTGTTCCTGTTTAATTGTCTTAGCAACTTAGATGAATGTAAGGTGTGTGTCTAGTTCAATCTTCATCTGAAATCAAATTGCTAAGCATTATAAATCTAATCATTTAGGATGAAAAAGCAGCCTATAGTGGAGGATCCCTTTTAGGGACATGGATTGGTGAGGATGCCATTCCCTGTACACCTGGGGTAGTAAAACTGCGAGCTAGGACAAAGTTAAGTTGCACAAGGTAAGTGGCAGTTTCGTCTTGCCTATCACAGTTAAACTTCCAGGAAAAGGGACATTTTACTTAGTAATGTTTAAGTCTAGTGAGCAGTTGTACATTAGTGCACCAAGTGCTTTTAACTTTGGGTTATCTGTTGTTAACAGAGTAGTCATTCTTTAGAATAATTAAAAGGAATGCTTTGAAAACAGGGTTCACCTATTCCCTGTAGTTGCTAAATTAGAGAATGAAGAGGTAATTAGGTAGCATAATTGAACTTGGCAAACTTTTCTCAGGAGTTCTGATTCTTTTATATATATACTATCTTTGTTCTTATTTTTATTTATTTATTTTTAATCTAGAGATCTTAAAATAAAAAATCCTGAAGATGAACTAATGAAACTGGCTAAGGAATTTGATAAAAATCTGGTAGAGTTCGATGCTGTTCAGGAACAAGAGAAGCTTTGTCAGGACTTGATCCAGGGTGCCTCTGAGACCTTACCTAATGGTAAGGACGGCGTGCAGAAGAACCTGAATTCAGCCCTGGATGAGGTTTCTGAAGCAGATGTTGTTCTGTCCCTGAAAGCAGTGGGAGAGAGCACTGGCATTGCTGCTGCAGGGCCCTGCCTGTCTAGCAGTCAGAAGTCTGTAGACCTAGAAGCTGAAATAGCCCTTCGTGCCCTTTTTGATTGTTCCACCCAGAAATGTAGTGGACAGCTGAGCCAAGGACTGTCGGGGATTTCTTTAAATAATGATTTCCAGGAAAATAAAAGCACTTTGGAGGAAGACTACRTTCCTGAGCCAACTAAAAACAAGCAAAATGTTACTTCTGAGATATGTCAAAAAGATGCTCCATGTTTGCCAAGAAGCGTGAACCAGATTCTTCCAAAACCTGATACATTTCTGTTGACAAAACAAAATCCTTTGAAGACCAAAGTGGTGGTCTGCAGTAAGGCTGCTGATGTCATTTATGACGACTTTGACGACTGGGATGCAGACTTTTTGGCAGATGACTCTTTTGTGATGCAAATAACTCAAAATCCTGAACTGATAAACACTGAAGAGGCTTCACCAGTTCCTACAAATCCACCTGTGCTTGGTCTCTGTGATGCTAGCAGAACGAAGGAACAAAGTAATTGCAATTTAGTGACTTGTTTGGGGAGTTCACACAAATCTAGTATTTTGCAGTGTTCACCTTTGAGACAGTCTAGTAAAAACACACAAAATGTTGCAAAATCTCTTTCTTTACGAAAGTCATGTAACAGTACAGAAACRTCAAAGACGGAGTCTGCTTCCTTTCATGGCAAAGGTGACGTTAAGCCAGATAAAATAAATGCTGCTTGGAAAAGTGCCCAAAACAATGAGTTTAACTATATTCCTGTTTCCAGGGAATCTCAAGTGAAGAATGCAAGTGAAACTATTCCACCTAAAAGTAACCACCTTCCTTCTTTTCTTTCAAGATCTAGGCCACAGACTGAAAAATCCAGCGATACTGCACACACAGTTTGCTGTCAATCATCCAATATTGCTGCTAATGGAAAGCCTACTGATCTGACTAAAGTGGTCWGCCAAGCTAATGCGGGTCACCTGAACCCAGCTGAGATACCAAAGAAAGGTCCTCTGTCATTTGACTGGAATGAACCCAAGTTTTCTGATGAGGTTTTAGATATGTTTTGTGAATCGGATAGTCTTTGGGACGCAAACTGTGAGGACGATGAATTGTTGTACCAGGTATGTGACGATATAGAAAAGCAGACGTGGAGCCACGATGCTAAACACGGAAATGAAAGAGCTAGAACAACAGAAGGAGCCGGTATCAGCTCCAGGTCAAATGCTGATAATGGCTTCACAGCATCTAAACAAGGACTGTGCGATCGCCTCTCCGCTCAGAAAACAAATGTGAAGCGGGAGCCGCYGTCAGTGAGCGCTGCCGGCAGGAGCAGCGCCCGAGGGGCACCCGGGCCGACGGCAGCGGCGCCCGCGGGGAGCGGCAAGAGCGTCCCGGGTCCAATAACTGTGATCCCGAGTGCTCCTGCCGAGTGTAAATACACACTGCCTAGAAGCTGTCATCAGGCGGCTTCTGAGGATACTGCAAAGGCTATTTCAGGAAAATGGTACAGATCCAATTCTGTGCCAGCTGCGAAGACGGCCTCTGAAGGCAGTCCTGCTGATGGAGTAAATGCTTTCAGTAGCAAACCGGCAGACAGCCTGTTGTGCAGCGTGGGGAGGACGCTACATAACAGCTCGAGTAACCAAACGTCACTTGTGCCTTCCAAGTTTAAGTTCCGAAAGACTAACAGTGCTCAAGTCGCCCTGCGGGTAGGGTCTGAAAATCCAGCGTGCCGCTCTGGCACCACGGTCACTATGCAAGGTCTGGAAGAAAGCAAGAATCAGCTGAACACGACTTGGCACAGCAAGCCCGARAACACAAAGCTGCCTTTCAAGAGACACCTCTCAGAACCGTTTGCACTGCCTACATCAGGTACGCGTGTCTGCTAACCCTGCTCAACCGTTCCTGTTCTGACTCTAATTATAATGCCATTCTTATTTCAGCTCCAGTTCAGCTCAATTCGTCGGATTAGCCCTGATTGCCCAGATTAATGTACTACCTAGAACCTGATTTTTCTTTCTGCAAAATAAAGCTACCCTGACACCCCTTGAATTCGGGTATTGGCAGACTTCTGCTCCCCTCTCTCCCCTTGTAAGGGCAGGACACACAACACGAGGTGCTCAGAGTGGCTGAGACCAAGGAGATGCTTGGGGCTAAGCCCTCCTAAGAAGACGGCAGCCCTCAGCATGCCCTGTTCCAGTTTGGCTAATATTTTGCTGTTTCGGTGCTGAGCAAGAGCTGCAGCCTAACGCTGCCTCTTAATTCATCACTTATTTTGAGAAAAAAAATTACCCTGATTCATCAAAAATAGTAGGGGAGAGAAAGAGGGCATGAGGAAAAACGGAATGCTAAATTTATTATTGTGCACCTGGAAATTGGCCTCAGACCACGAGGCATTTCGGAAACACTGGCCTATATTGTTTTGCCTAGTGGCCGAAGTTGCCAGTGAAGTATTTTCTCACTCTAAAAACTACCTTACATCCTTTCCTGCAGCCGCTCAGTTAGTTGTTGGAACCACTTACTTGACGATGCAGACACAACAGCCCACGCACGGATGGTGCTTCCTGGATAACCGTGGAGTCGGGCAGGTGTCGGGCGCTTCTGTTCGGACTCGCCTCAGGGCTGCACTGCTCGGCTCAGCGCTGCCTTGACGATGTGCTGCGTCATCGCAGTTGTCAAAAACCCCTGTTTAGAACAACAACAAAACAGCTCGTCCATTTGGCTTCTCCAAACCATCACCCCGCATGATTTGAAGAATTCCTTTTAGTTCTGCTTGCTATCTGGGCAAGTAGCAGACAAGTGGAAAGTAGGAAAAGCAGATGTTACTGGGAGAAGATAACTAGACATTCTGTGGACCATTCTAGAGAATAAATGATCATTTGAAGGGTTTGGGGTTTCTTTTCCCCCCTCTTGTAGTTTTTTTTTTTTAAGTATTTTATTTTGAAGGACTATRTGGAACTATATGGAACTATTGGAAAATGGTAAATAAGTGGTGAAAATCTTGACATTTTATGAATGATGGGAGTCTTCTTGCTGGATCCAGGGAGGTCAGGATTTTATTGTACGGGAATTTATCGTTCTGCAACACAACATATAAAATATTATGCTTAGCTATCATGCTCTTGTCTCCTCTGCAGATTTTTATTGCTGCTTGTGACCTTTTCTCAACCTTTCTGGTTTTATTTGTGTGACACCTGTACTGTATCTGACCCCAGTGTCTCGACCATCTTGACGCCCGTATCTCTCCGTAATGCACTGAATTGCAGAGCCCTTTCCACTCTGACAGCCTTAATTTTCTTACCCTGTTGCCGTCTCCTGTGCTCACTTGTGGGCCCTGCGTGCCAGAGCTGCCTGCTGTTGGCCCTGCACCTTCAGACGGRGGGAAAAGGACAAAAAGATGAGTAAAATACACACCAACTAACCTGACGGTCCTAACACAAATGTCTGTGTATTTACAGGGTCTGCAGTAGAACAGAAAAACAGAAAATGTTCCCAGGAAGAAATTGAAAGGAAGAAACAGGAAGCTCTTGCGCGAAGGAAATCCAGAATGCAGGCGTCCTTAAAGGACACGTGAGCTGCTCTGTTCTGCCTGCCGAAGAAGTTTTGTTCCACGCTCTCTATGGGCAATGAAGTTTGAGAGTGCAATCAGTTACCGTATCATTGTGTTGAATCTGTACAGTTAAAACATCCTAAGAGTATGAAAATATTTGTACGCACACAGAAGACTTGAAATCAGACTTTTGATTGTGTTTCTCTTTCTGGGAATAATCCAGACAAAGACTCTGGCCACTCATAAATAGCTTAAATGTAAAAGTGAGACTGAGAAATGCAAAGTTTTGTTCTCAGGTAGTTTTGGTTTTAAGAAAGGTACAATCAAGAAAACATCCAAAATAACAGAAATGCACAGGGCATGCAAAACTTGCTTAGTCTGTGGGGTTTTTGGTAAAAATCATACATAGGGAAGGAGGGATTTATAAGGTGAAAGAGCATCCAGAAAAGGATACTTTTTTTTTTTTTTTTTTTTTTTTTTTAAAGTCCCTCCAGGAAGAGCTGCAAATACCATAGCTAACAAATCTTGACAACCTTTCCCTAAACGGCTATTACCCAGCTTACTGAAAATGCGGGCTACATCTCTTCAGCAAACCCCAGGCAAATACTCTAGCAGGAATGCTCAGCAGCTACCGATCAGCGTGGCCTGGCGAGCTCTACGTGCCCCTCGMACTGAGCTCTCTTAAAGCACAAATGCCACGTGATGCCAGTTTAACTGGGGCTGATAAATAGAGCTTTTGATGTGATAGATGGCAGAAGAGCTCCAACTGTAAAAGGGCCTGTGGGTAAGCTGAGTGATGTTTCACAATTGGTAAATGCTTTTATATAAACATGGAACATTATGAAAAGTGACTGTAATTTAGCTTTGTAAATAAGTAMCTTTGAGTTGTACCAAAAGGTTGGAAGAAGCTTTTGGTTGCTGTGGAATGTGCCTTTTTTTTTTYYTTTTTTTTTTTGTAATTTCTGCAAATGTAAATACTGTATATGTGTAAATCATCATTAAACTGTACTTTTTTAAACATTCTTTAGTCGTATTTGAATAATAGTTGGCGGGCATAGAAAACAGATGAAGGAGGCGGAGGAATAGGCATCCCAGCTGGTTTTACCTGAATTGTTGTTGGAATTTACCTGTAATTGTTGTCAACGACAAAATCCTTAGGCCTGGAGGAAGCTGGCTCTGAATGCAGCAGTCAGCACAGCAGTCCTGAACACTCGAGATCCACAGCAGAGGATCCTGAACACTGCTTTCCACAGCAGAGGATCCTGAACACTGCTTTCCACAGCGGAGGGAAGGCCCTTCAGTCTCACCCACAGCTGGCTGGTGAGGATCTCAAAGCCCGAGGCTGCTGGTGCCCACAGGAGGGTGGGTGACCCACAGGCTCTGTCCTTGGGCCAGCTCTGTCCTTGCGCAGCAGGGCAGGGATCCGCTTGTGCATCCGACTGGAAGCGGTCCTCGACAAATGGGCTGCAGCCTGTCCAAAATCTTCACCGTAATAATGCACTTACTGGAAACACAAAACAGCAAGGTCCTTTGTCGTTGTCGGGTCTTCGCTGGCAGAGCTGGAGCTGTGTAAAGAAGCAGGGTTTGCGTGTCCATATAAATAAATGCAAACACAAGTCGTGCTGGCTGCACCGGAGCGCCGCTGCGCTCCCCGGGCACATGCAGGGTGCCCTGTCCCAGCACCCCAGGTGCTCCCACACGTCTGCCCCCCACGACCCGTCAAGGACAGGGCAGCTCAGCCCCTCACGGAAAGTCTAACCAGTCCTCGCCTCTATCGTTAAAATAGATCCCAATGAACACATGGAATTCCGTTGCTGTGAGGGCTATGGAAGGGAGCTTTGGATAGCGTCGTAGCTCTAGGAAGACACAATCTACTTATTGACAAATGACACACCTGAAGTTGCCTCCACCCTCTGCAGATCATCRTTTTAAGTGCTTCATATCTACTGCCTAGGCATACTTTAAGAATTCATTTGCTCATCAGTGTGAAACACGCAGATTGTATTTGACAATTTAGGGCTAATGCATGTACTGGTCTGTCCATTAAGTTAATTGTAACAGAGGGGCTTTGTTTTGGTTTGTTTTTTATTTTTCATAAATACCTACTATACCTCAAGGCCTGCAGCTTGGTCTTTCTCAACCACTGCTTTCTAAATAGAAATCACAAGTACGTGGGAACATCGTTTCTTAACGGATAGTGAGACACAAACTAAGATTTTTCACTGATCTAACCATCACTGACTCTGCCCATCACCCTCCAGTTAACAAAAAATGAACAGAATTTCCTCTTTTGGTGACTTCATAATATCAGGATCAGATAAAGCATTTCTTGCAGCAAAATTAGCACCCTCTATACCAGCCCCCTTAGCTCAAATTTGCCTAAGTGAAACGCTTAGAGGAAAACGATACCCCAGCAGAGCTTCCCTGGGTGATGCAGGGGAGGCAGCAGTAAGAGTCACTGGGGTTAGAGATAGTTACAAAGAGCAACAGCAAAAATTCCAAAAGCTGTGCAAACTTCTGCCTGACTCTTTGCAGCAGACAACAGTTCTTCATTAGGAAAGTACCTACATCATGTTAATTAATTAATACACATGTACGCCTAAGAAGTTTGGTATTTCAAGATTCATTTCACTATGAAGGCACATCTTCCTGCAGGCAAAAGAGACCTATACAAATAATAACAACAATCTTAAATACATTCCAAATTAAATTATGACTGTCATGTTTCATTATAAATTAATTTATGAGTGTTTGCTTAGGCACTCATCTTCTTTTCATTCACAGCATAATAATTTTTACACGAGCAATCAGTGAGCTTTAGTTTAAATGTAAATGAAATTCCTGTATGTCCGCATTCCCGCAATGTTATTTTTTGTCCATGGATATTGAAGCATCTCACCGGAAGTGGAGTTACTTGCTAAAATCCACCATTTTTGATCTCTCTCCTAAGAGCTGGTGTTGTTTGGCTGTTTTCTTCCAAGAAGACAGGCACTACCAGGTGAACGGTCCATTCATTATAAYTTTCCCAATCTGTATCTAAAATTGAGTGGTGTGCACCAACACATCTGCGTTCACGCCATTCCAGTTCATGTTGGTGAGGGATCGTGTTTAAGGCACTTCAGAAACGCACAAAGGCTGCTTTTTATTGCGTTAGTTCTATCAGACCTTCAGAGAGGCCAGCACTCAGCAGCTCTTCCGATTTTGGCCTTCAATGAGCAATTAATGTTGGGGCTGCAGTTCAGGAACGGCAAGCTAATGCTGTATGTTGCGCTTGTTATATCTAKATCTTTATATACCCAGAGGAACAACGCAGATGAATTCATTGATTATATCTTTTTAAGCCTCCAAAGGGCTACAATTTGTCAGGAAAGAATAGCTGGAAGCAACAGATAGTGACCTAAATAGAAGAATTCCAAAGAGGAAATGGAAGAGAATGAGCACGACTGCTGCATTGTGCGGGGCTGCGGTGCCTGTGACACTCCAGTGACTCCAGTGTTTGTGGAGGAGGAAAGGCAGATGTCACGTGGGGGGCCCGAGCGAGCCGCCACCGGAGCCGGCCGCAAGCACGCCGCCAGTCGTGCTGCACGCCAGGGCCGCGGCGCTGGTTCAGAGCCCCGGCTCCGGAGCACACCGTGACGGGTGCGTCGGGCAGGGCAGCCCGCCGGGCCTGCCCCCTGAAACACCCGCGAACGTCGCGCGTGCTGCTTCACGGAACGAAACACAGATTTCTCCGGCTGTTGTCCAAACGTCTCGGCGGCGCAGAACACTGCCCACCCGCTCCACTCTCGCAGCAATTTCCTTTGAGCACCAGGGGTAGCAGAGTGACTCGGGTGAAGAGAGAATCAAGCCCCCGCATTTCATTATTTTAAGGAGTCCTTGCCCATTAGCACATAAATCTAGCGAAATAGGACTGCGTTTATCAGCAGCTGTAATTGTTTATGCCCGTTTGCAAACTTTTCTGAGCAAAAAAGGTTGCATTTATGCATAACTGCTTAACAGCCCTCACCTAGAACTATACAGTTAAGGAGAGCAACGCAGGATTTATAGATCTCCAGGCCCACACACTCAATACGGATAGCTCCAAATAAAACCTGATATGCTAACACAGCAAAGCAATTCGGGGCCTTTTGTTTGTTTGTCTTTATGCCAAAGCTGAGCACATGCTGGCACATTTTGCAGAATCATGACTTTAGGGCAAAGGATATTTAGGTGCCTGGGGGAGCTTCTCATGGCTAAAAGTTTTTTCCAACACTGGTAATGCACAGTATTAAGAATTATTACCAAGAAGAGTTTGAAGAGCAGTCACTTTTGAATAAGCCATTAGATACTTAGCTTTGGGTGTTACCAACCTACAGAAAGATGAACTGCAATGATAAAAAAGATGGGCTTAGCAGAGGAAAACAAGTGTGTTCTCCAAGTCTTACATAATATTTTGGAAACATTTTAGTAGATAAAGCAGTCATGCTTCCCCCACCAATACTGCCTTGCAAAGGACTTAATTAGCTATCATGTTCTACAGCAAAAAAGTGAAATACGTGCCTGGAAATATCATAAATTTGAATTGCTATCTTCCTTCCTTGTTGTTTCTCATAGGTTACAATGTACTTGGATAGGGTCAGATGTTTTGTAAGCTCTAATGCTGTATATGAAGAGGCAAAGATGACATTAATTCCAATAACTAATCTTGAACCTGCATAGGTATAAAAAATGAATCAGAATTGCATATACAGACTAAAAATGTTTTTCACATCAGTGCAAGCCGATCAGCACGGAGGCTGTCAGACCAGAGAAGGCTTCCATTTCCAATAGGAAGGGCCAGAAGACGCCCGAAGTTTTTTTTTTTTTTTTTCCCCTCCTTTATCTACCAGCTTTGCAAGCAACAACAAGACGGGAAGAGAACGCTGTGCTTGTGCACGGGCCCCAAGTCCTCCAGACTCATCTTCTCTCCAACAACAAAGGCTGACGTGAAGCATCACAAGCGATGCTCCCATCCAAACATCACACAAGCTTTACAAAACTCTTTTTTTTGGCCACGTTACCCCTCAGTGACTACCCCTTGCTCTCGGAGGAGGTCCTTAAATGTGCTCTCCTAACAGCAGATGGAACTAGGACCTACTGACGTTAAGGATCCAGAGCGCAGTGTGTCTGGCTGCTCAGGCTGCAATCTGGGGGTGCGTGTGGGGATACTTGGATGGCTCTGAAGGAGCCCTGCGAGCTGGCCGAGAACAGCGAGGTCTTCCACRCTACACCACAATCCATGTACGTGCAATTTGTGGCAGGCCTCACATCTCCAAAGAACGAGTCCTGCAAGATCAAAAAGGTTTGAGCACACTGCATCAGAATGTCAGATCTTGACAATATAGCCCATCAAAAGCATTCTGCCCAAGTGAGTTTTGTGACCTGCAGGAAGAGTTATGGAAGTGAACAGAAAGAAATTTGAAGATGTGTTAAGATAATGTCAATCAGTGCAGACCAGACAAAGAAAGACTCTTTCTCATTTTTTCTTGGGAAATATGAAGCACCAGCAAAACTATCCAAAATATCTGTTAGTTATAAAAATGTCAGGCAAACCTACATTTGGGAAATGGAGTGATTCAAACACAAAAGGGTGAGGAGGATTCTTGGAAGACATATCAGACATATTTATCTTCTCAGCAATTTGCCTGTCTACGTTGCAGAAGAACACAAGCGAGCACTTAAAGGATCCTAATTTCCTAGGCACTGACTCATCTGGCTTCTAAGAGAGGCAAGTTCCAGTTGAAGCGTCCTCAGCCGAGTCATTTGCAGAGCATGTCGGGCACGGGCTCGCTGCTGTCTCAGATGAAGGAGCCCACAGCCACGCTCTTCTCCAGACACGGGGACTCTCGAAGGTCTTCTCCTCCATCTGCCCCTCATTCTCAGCAAGCTTCTGGGTTTTTTTAGGTTGGCTGGAGGGCTGACCCTTCTCTCCCCCAGCCTACGCAGTGACATTTTCCCATTCATTTCCTTTACTAGTGGTGCAGTCAYGATGGCCTGAGCACATGTAGAAGCAATCACTCCACCCTTCAAACCTGCCACACTCCCGGTATTCAGAGTAAGCAGTGACATTCACTAATTGCTATGTAATTTGATGCCATTTTTGACCTGGGAACAAGAGAGGTTGCCGTGGGACTGGGACTATGAGCGGCCTGGGCTGCCTCCCCTCCTCACCCGTGACAGGAACCCGGGGTAGTCCTGCCCATGAGCAGGAGCACTTCAAATCCTGACACGAGAYCTCCTATCGGAGGAGGACGGGATGTTCTGGAAAGCCTCTCCAGGGGCCTCGGGCTGCTCTCCGTGTTCACAAAGGCCACTCGTCTGCAGAGCTGTCAGGCTGCTGCTCATAGGGGCTGAAATCACTGCCCCCGCCCTCTCACGGATATTATATATAGGCATGCATATTTTAATTAATTTTCTATACAAGGAGAATATTTATCAGCTAAAATCAGGAAGTAAATCTAATTTTAAAATGAAGCTAGCTTCAATATTTACTGCAACTTAATGACAGCTTTAGACAAGAATTTAATTACACAGAGTCAGCATGCCATATATATTGTATGGATGTATCATGGGACTTATTTTAAAGTGTAATTTAAAGTGTAACTTTTAGACTGAGCCTCAATATGAGCTTAAATCAAAATATTTCCACTGAGGAAGCACATTCTTCAAAACTGATTACAAAAGTAGCCACAGTACTAATGGAGGCTTACTGTAATTTTACAGTAAAATGACTTGCAATAACAGTCTGGGGAAGTTGCAGGCTAATTTAGTATTTTTCAAGCTGAAAACTGCTAAGGATTTTTTTTTTTCCCCATAGAGAGTTACCTTTTCCATGTTACCTGGAAATACATCTTTCTAAAAGGTCAGTTCTGTAACCTTTGCAACTCACACGTCAAGCCCAGAAAATACACCGAAGTGTCTGCACTGTGCTTACCCAAACCAGTGCTTTCCAGGGAGCAGCTGACAGACCAGGACTTAAGAGACCTCGTTCTTGTTTCCTTCGACCCGCTGCTGACTTTGTGCACGCGGATCTCAAGCAGGTTTGAAAAAGCCAGGACAGTTTTTGCCATCCAGCATTACCTGAGTTTATGCTGGACCATGAAAGACCGTGAGACTTTCCAATGAGCTGAGTCTCGGCAAAGGGAGATGCCCATCGGCTCTGTGAATACACAAAAAGGAGCTGTATTTACCAGTGTAAATGCAGGACCCAATTCTTAGTTACCCTGATCATATTTTGCAGTAAGAACTGCTAATCTGTGGCAGTATCTTAGACCCTATGTGAGATATTCAACTAGMTGTTTAACAAGCATATCTCAATAAAAGTGTAACTGATACCATCCTCTGACTACACAATCTCTAGAAATAAAACACACAGTAACAGCAAGGCAACAGTCTTGGGTAGGTGAGGAGCCAGGCATATTCAGGGACTTAAGTGCTTAAAGATGTAGACATCAGTAACATGCACTATGCAAGAAAACAAAAGTGATTTYTCATTATCCAATTATCTTGTGTGACAATGTCTAGATGTATATTATTTATGTCTATTTCCAGATCTTCTTTTTGGTAAAAACAATAGCTGTATTGGAGATTGTTAAGACACCGGTCCTTTGTAGGTCCTTTTGCCAGACATATGCCTAAGAGTGTGTCCATTTTACAGGCAAGAACGCTCTCTCCAAGCTGCTCCAGAGGCAGCTGAAGCAGGATTTACATCCTGCATATGGTATCATWGCAGCTCCAGAGGAGCTCGTGCTAGCTGGGGTAAATAGGGCCCAGAACGGAACGGCTGCGCGGGACCCTGGCGGGTGCAGATCGTGGCAGCCACGCGGCGCAGCCGGGGCACCTCACACGACCCAGAGCTTTCTTACCTTTCTGTGACGCTCCGTGTGTGCAAAGTTCCTGTGCAGCAGGAACGCATGGGCTCTCTTCCCAGCCCAGGGGGAACCTGTGAGTTTTACCCCTGCTCCACGGGTGGGCTCCACCTCTCCCTGCCCACACGGGTACTTGCAATGATCTGCTGGGTAACACAGAGATGCCCTGAAGGTCCCTTTCTGAGGGGGATCTGAAGGTGTCTGGAGGTGTTTTCTTGCAGCCGGTCCTGCTCTGGGTAAGCTGCACAGGTTTCTGGTGTTCTTAGATAACTGCACGTGGCTCAGCCACCCTCTGCTGCTCCAGAAGGGCCATGAGCCTTGATGAGTCCTCCTGGGCTCAGAGACCAGGAACCCACGGCAATTAACTAGCACTTAAACAGACTCACATGTGAATGGTTGTTCTGATGGCAACGGCTGCCCAGCTGGGCTGGCTGTGAGAGCCAAGGCAGCTCCATGGGAAGCACCAATCCCGGTGCGCTCATGGAGGAGCCGGCAGCAGGCACGTGCAGGATGTCAGTGCCCAGGCAGCTCCATGGGAAGCACCAATCCCGGTGCGCTCATGGAGGAGCTGGCTGCAGGCACACACAGGATGTCAGTGCCCACGGGAAGCACCAATCCCGGTGCCCTCGCGGAGCAGCCAGCTGCAGGCAGGCTGTTTCCCGGCACCTCCCCAGCCCTCCCACATCCCTGGCCGCGGAGCAGCAACCCTGGGCCCGGCATGGAAGCCCGGGGGAAGGCGGGCTTCATCCCAACCCATTCACACTAGCAGAGAGCAAGGCAGAAGGCCTGAAGCTCCAGCGCGGTACGAACAGCGGTACGAGAGGYGGTTCACTCTCTGGAAGAAGTCCTGACCCTATTAAAGTCAATGACAAAACTAGCGCAGCCTTCAGCAGCGCAAAAATTTCACCTTGTGTCTGTGGCCACTCCACCGAGGCTTCCAACAGGAATGTCAATTAGTGCCAGTTTCAAAGGTGACATTTGTGACATGGAAACTCCCTCCGCTGGGAGATGAGCTAAGATGATCAAACTGAGTCTGCAAAGGCCGGGAAAGGTAAGTGTGACATTCCCCGTCCTAACAACCAACTAAAGCAAACAGATACGTGCACATGGAAACGGTGCTCTTCAGTATTTCCAAAGCATGTCACAAACGACGTGATCATTGATAGAGAGAAYAATAAATAAGTAAGGGAATTGGAAATTCAATCTGTCTCTGGCAAGTCTAAAAGAATCAATTAGTGTATTAAAAACCATGCATAAAATAATGCTTAATTTAAAAAAATGAGAGATTGAGAGAGGGAGAGAAACCTTTAAAGGGTAAACTGTCTCATACTGTAAAGTGAATGAATACAAAAGAAATGACCTGAGGACAGCAGACTCCTGCTTGGAGTCTTCCAGATCCCAGACTTGCACACAACCACTATTAGCACGTTCAGATTAATAGTTCAACGGTAACTGGAATATTAAACAGTATGTGTCAGTTTGATTTTGTAAAAACATGCATCTGAGTATTTTACTTAATATCCGGGTTAGTCTAAGAGATACGTAAGTAGACCGGATACTGCAATACCCCAAATAGTAACTTCTTGGTTTTCATTTGCGTGTTGATGTTCTGCTTGTCTGAACAGAGCTGGGTTCGGCACCAGCCTCCAACACCGACATCTCGGTGGAGCGAATAAAAAAACACAACAACACACAAACTGCAGCAACACGCGGCCGGCTGCAGGTAAACCACATTTTCAGCCCCTCAGAGACTCCTGCTTCAAGGCAAATCTGCATCTTCTTCCAAGCCAGGTTCTGAATAAATAKATGATCACATCAGGGCATCACCACATCATTTTTCACGCACACATTCCCTTCGGAGCAGCTCCGAGGAGACGAGACTGGCACAGCAGAAGGGCTGCAGATCCAGCCCGGGAGCGGGAGCTTGTGCGTCACCTGCTCGCGCTGCACCCAGCCCTAGGAAACGCCGTTTATCTTCCACGTTACACGTGCCAAATTCATCAGCAGCTTTAAAACAGAGAAACAGAGACACGGATCATATTTTTAAGGGTTCGCATTACGCGTAACAAAAGAAAACGTGGAGCGCTGATTCACGGCCAGACTCGCGGCTCTGCTGCTGCTGTGCAGAGCGAGGCAGAGCCAGCGCCGCGGGGAGCCCCCGCACAGCCCGGGCCCCTGTGCAGGACAAGCGATCCCGACGGGATGAGCGATCCTGCTGGGATGAGCGATCCCAGCTGGCATGAGCGATCCCGTTGGGATGAGCGATCCCGGCTGGCATGAGCAATCCCGTTGGGATGAGCAAGCCCATTGGGATGAGCAATCCCAGCTGGAACGAACGATTCCACCTGGAATGAGTGATCCTGTTGGAATGAGTGATCCCGTTGGGATGAGCGATCCTGTTGGAATGAGCGATCCCGTTGGGAGGAGCGATCCCGCTGGGATGAGCGAGCGCTCAGCCGGCACACGCGCTCTCCGCTTTGGCCCCGCGCGGTCCCCACGGCCGCTGCCGGCGCGCGAGGATCACCGGCARAACAAACCTGCCTGGCCAGACACCGCAAGGGGCAGAAACCCGCAGCCTGGACACGGCTGCCCCCCCGGCTTGGCACCGTGCTCGCAGTGACCAGGAGCACGGCACGGCAGGAAAAGCTGGGAATTTTAGCAACTTTCCCTCATGGAGCAGGGACTAGGCAGGCTTTTCTTACCTGGACACTGATCTGACCACTCCAGAAGTGGGGCGCGGGGGGTACTATGTGTGCGTGGGTCAAGTGAGGAGGAGACAGGTTTAATTAATCTTAAAAGCCTTCGCAATTCAAGCACTGTAGTCCTGGATCAGTTCCTGTACTAACATGATTAGCAAATATTGACTTTTGAGCACAATAATAATGTGTCATCTGAAACCCCTGATAAGTAACTTAAGTACTTCCTTAGCTTGCATCTTATTAAATTAGATAAGGTATGGTTGAGACACATTACACAAAGCCATTGAAATGGGAAGTCAGACCTAAAGATTTTAGTATTGATTGAAGACAGTCAAAAGTTACAATAAGGATGAAACTCCGGCCCGTATTCTGCTCTCCCGTCCACTGCTGCTAAGCACAGATTGCTTCACTCCAGGACTTACACTGATGCTCGAGAGCCACTGATGCTAGTCAGGCAGGTGCTGTTTTTCAGCATTTGTTAACACAGATGTCTTTCCTTTGAGCTCTTCTTTTGGGGTGTGTGTGAAATCACTTCTTTCCATCTTTGCAAACAGTAATTCTCAGAGTTTAGCCATCAGTAACCACCAGTATTTGTGACTTTCTGACGTGCAATCCATCATTTGATTATGCACRATGACCATATAGCATTAGTTTTATGGAAGGTTAACCGACACAGAGCTTCTAAAGTTAATATAGTGGAGAAAGAGAAGCGTGTCACACTTGTGCGCCCGTGAATATGGTAACTATAACACACTCAGATCCACTCATAAGGTTTAGCTTAAAAATGTGTAGAGCAAGTCAACCAAGAAAGGAGTTAAAAGATGTGATACTCCTCAGATGCAGCCTGACAAATCTTACTTTATTGATTAGTTTTCAAAGGCAGTGCAGGGAGAGCACTGCACTTACAATAGACTTTGGAATGAGTGGTTGAGGGGGGAGAATAAAGCTCCAAATGTCATCAAAGCAAATGGTCTGTGAACGTTGCTTCAAAGCTAGTCATTAGTTGCCAGGGTATTTTGCCACAAAGCTTGTAAAGAGGTTTTCCTAGAGGGGAAGGTATGACAAAATGCACTTCTTGGCAAGAGGACTTTGCTTAAATAGCAGGACACATTAATTCTTGCTTGATACATAAAATTAATTAGAGGATTAACATCCTTTATGAAATTTTGCCAGAGATTTTTTCCTTTTTACCAGGAATAGACCCCAGGCCTTTTCTGTACTCTAATGAAATTGCAAATTGACTTGTGTTCAAATGATGCTTGACTAAAATGAATAATTAAAAATGTATTGCTAACAATGAGATGGGTCAGCTGATCTTTCCAAGGATTAATTAGTTTCAAGAACCATCTTTCTTATGTAACACAGCAAAGGCCAATGCCAGAACACCTTTTTTTTCCTGCAGTAGTTCCCCTTGAAGTCAATGGACCCAGTCTACTCCCAATTATCCAGGGCTTTATTCCATATTCAGTCTGTTGAGAGCGGGTTTTGCTCTACAGCAATTCAGAGCAAAGAACTACGCCTAAGGGCATTGAGCTGTTATTCCATCTAAAAGTCAAGGAACCCAATTCTCCCCTTTCCTTGGGTCTGATCCAAAATCAAACTCAATTTCTGGGAGTCTCTGGTTTGTCTGCATTGGGTTTACTGCGCTGCTGTAAATCCCAAAGACATCGACACAGCGGGAGACCTCTGTGGAGGAGAAGGGAAGCGGGACGATGACTTTTGATAGGTCAACAAGAGGATAAAGACCAAGGGACACAAGCARAATAGGGAAGCCTCTGTGTGTGTGTCTATATGCTTGTTTGAAAAACATGTTGGGATTGGCACCGTCCAACAYGAATACAGAAGAATCCAGGAAAAAAAATGGCTTAGCATCAAGTTCTCAGAAGCACGTTAGCAATCTGATTCTCAGATTTTTTCAAAAGACCCAAGTATTTCACTTCCAAAAGCTTCTAGGCAGTTACTAAGTTTCCATTTTCGCAGGTGCCTTGAAGAATCCAAGCGAACGTCTACCCTTCTCTTTACATGACTTTGAAAACTGGCTCTCAGACCCACTTCCAAAAGCGACTTGCATGCCGGGGCGTCTAACGCTGGCGGGGCGCCACGCAAAGCAATGTTCATCAGTCAGCGCAAAGAGCTGGAAAAAGTGCCCCACTAATGGGATTCTAGGCCTCGTAGTATTGGAGTCAGTTCATTTAGGACTGATTTGGGGATATTTGCACTGTGCTGCCCTATGCTCTGCAGAAATTTCCTTAGGTACTTTGCAAAATTAATCTTTACCTTTGCATAAGGTGAGATTTACTGAGGCATTAAGGTGCAAAGGGGACTGGTGATGGGGGTTGAGGGCCCTACTGGTAACTGCGCAGCTGAAAATTTCTTGTATAGATTCTTTGCTTTTAAATATRCCATGTCTGAGTTACTTCCCTCATGTGCACCAACAGGCCTGTTCCGCTTTTTGAATTCCGTAATCACCTGGTGTGTTTGTAAAAGGTCCCTTCCTGCAATGGGAGTTCTAAAAAAGGAAACCTAACATTCACTTTCAGTGTCCTCTCCAAACACTTCCTAATTCTCAAAACGATTACTGCTGCTGTGCATGTTTCTGAGTTCCTGTCTCCGATGGGATTTTCAGATGTGTTTTATGTTGTGTTGTGATGTTTCCAATTTGGGTGATGAAAGGTTAAAAGATACGCCTGTATGAAATTACCCAGTGGCTCTTGTGAGCTAACATCGTGCCTTATTGAGCATGATCACGCTGTCACTCGCATCGGCTGCAGCAAAGCTTTCAGAAACAGGAGGAATAAACTGGGATCGCCAGAGCCTATGGGACAACTCGAAAGAGGGGGCAAAAAAAGACATAGTTTCCTTGCTTAAGACTTGCTAGTCCTGTTTRAAGAGACGATGCTCTGGAAAATGTTGTTTTTCTTGAGCCGCCCTTTAGTCAGATCTTCTCACTGCTGGCATTGTGCAGAGTCAGCTTAAAAGGTGTATTTAGCATTGAGGGATTTCGTAAATACTGCTTTATTGTGCTTCATCCTCCCCACAGGGCATTCTGAAGAGATGAATAGTAAGTGTGAACAGGARGAGCAAGTTTCCAGTCCTGTCAAATTAATTAGAGCAGTGCAGGATGAAGAGAGGCTTGCCGTTAGGAAGGCAGACAAGCCTCCCGCGCGGGAATCGCTCGGGCATACACGCAAAATGCTACCTCATGTCTGGCATTATCACTTCCTTCGGAACCTGATATAAAACGGGTTGTTTTAGAGCTTTTTTAGAGCTTGACTCAGCTCCCAGCTG